GGGAACAGCAGTGAAACGGCAAATTTTTCTTCTAGCACTCACAAAGCGTAAAGCGTCACACTACGACTCCCCGTTGGTGTAGGATTGACGCTGCCTCCGACCTTGCGAAAATACGACCCCCTTTTCGTCGGCCGAATACGACACCCCTCGTTGGACTTTGTCCAACGGACGGTTGACCCTGGGCAATGAATCTACGAAGAAGTTTTCGTCATTATAAACCTCCTAGGGCTGAATTCTAAGCGAACGTGAAGGAAATTCCTTTACATTCTGTCCATTTTAGAATTGTATCGCCATGTGTACTTGGATGGAAGCATTTTGTATGTTGAATTAAAACTTGCTCAGAGTGAGCAACTTATTTCACGAAAATCAAAATCAATCAAAGCAATTTTCTTTTTTTCTTGCGCAGGGGGTTTTCTCGCGCATCTCCGACCGATAGATTCTTCATTCAGGCCTAGGGATATCATTTACTGCGCGCAACATCTCTGATCGAATCCGAGAGTATGTCTCAAAAATGCGAACCGGGGCTTCTATACTTCCTGGTTCGGAGAATCGGTGGCATACTCGTCTGGAGAGATAGAAACACTCGTTATACACTCGTTATGTTAAGACTAGAATCGCAGTTTATGGTACTAGCCACTGTCAAAAGCGCCTCTGAAGTTTCTTTATAATGTGCAAGTAGGATGCGTGGCATGCCCTATAAAGAATTGATGAGAGCTGAACGTTTCACACTTATTTAATGACAGCGAAATGTCGGTTTTTTGAATTTCTAACTGTAAATTCTGCTGTAACAGGCGGCGTGCCTCTTTCGCAACGACTGCATATGACGACTTACGCTGCGACTCGCGCTCGTCTACTTGAATACCCATCTTGAAAAAAGGCACTTGACGTTCCTCAACCGAGCGACCAGTGTCTTTTTATCACCTAAATTTTGGAGGGAATCGAATTCTCGAGTATACGACTTGAGTAGAAAACTCTTTGAGTCACCAAAAACGGAATCTGGTGATCGAAACAGGAACTGAATTCCTCAGTTAGTCACCACCACAAACGACCACTCCTTGAAGTGTATTGCGAGCCATTGCGTGAGTGTCCTTGTGATTGTTTCGCTTACTGCAATTCCCAGTGAGTCTGTTTGCGTGAAGGTGATTCCCGTAGCATCTATCCGTTAATGGGTGGTGTATGGCAGGAATTTATGCGAAACGTCTGGTGCTCTCTGATTCCTTTTTGAAGAATGGGAGCGAGTACGCGGCGATGGTGAGACATTTCTCGGCGAAGCGTTTCGCTGAACATCCTTCGCCACAAGTGACTGTGGTGGCGGCGACACCGCCGTTGACGGTCCATTTCTGTTGGAATGTGCTGACGTAATGACCGCAAACGATGGTATCGTCTGGCCCATCCCATCGATTCTCGCCAAATCAAGTCCCAAACGAGAGCTTTTTCATAATCACTGACATCGGGTTTCCTCCTTCACTAATGACTTAATAGAGGATTCAATGAAAAAGCTGAAATTGTTCTGTTCAGAAAAGCGCCAAGATAAAGCGCCACGACGATGAGAGCCTCGATGACATTGCCGAAATGCAGGGTGAGAAGCGAAAAAATCAGCAGAAGGATGAACGCCGAACACAGGAGCGAAAAAGAAAAGGTAAGACATTATACGGCGCAACCTTTGATGTTGCCCATTTTTGGGTGTGGTTCGGCGGCGCGGTATTCGATTAAGCGAACGTTGCGAATTGTTGCACATCAGGGGCACGCTGATGAAACCTTGAGTACCTCATCCAAAAAAGCACTAATTATATCTACGACACAAACACGGCAGCCGAGAATCAAAGGTTGAGATCTACTATGTCCTTGAGCGGCCCAAAGGATAGTGAAAAATCACGGTCTTTCTCTTTAAGTTCGTGGTCAAGTCCGCGCACCTATAGTTTGACTAACATACCATATTGATCCAGAACGCATAAGTTATTTTCTGTCACTCAGCAACTGGAAATGAAGCAGTGATAAATGGAGCCGTTGTCTATGCATGGTTAAAGATGAGGTTGGGAGCGAATTCCACTGAGGTTGGCCAAACTTTAAAAAATCACTGGTCAAAATCGTGCTCAAGTGTTAGTACAATCGCGAATTCTAGAAAAATTGTGGCGTATCCCGGGGCTTGATTGATACCTGGTAAAATGGAAATATGCTGCGGCTCACTTCCCCTGGTACAGCTAGCGAACTTTTAGTTTGGCGCTCTAGCAGCGCGTAGTTTCTTGCTTATTCACTGGCCTTGCTTTTTCCAGTTGCATCATCTGGTTTTGGTGGCAGCCTTTCGCTCTTCGTCGGAAACTGCAACGCAGTTGTTGGGCGGGTGAATCTGAGGTGGTCGTGGACGAGGAAATCCGCCGGGGGCTCTTGTTGTGTTCAGAAATCTCGCATGATCAAGAGAATGTGTACATTTATTCGAAGAAGATTGATGAAAAAGAACAAAATTGTACATACAAAATGGTATTAAACACCCAAAGAGAAAATTTCGAACGGTGACCGCCATGAAACACAGCGAACACCGGCCCTGAGCACCCGCGGCGACATTCAGTGAGATCAAACTAGACATGTAGGCAAATTAGTCAATAAAAACCGTAATCTAGCGAGCAGCTCGGAAACCTGAGTTGAACTCGTGTACCTTGTTGGAAAGCTTTTTCACGAATCCTTTCATTTCCAATTTCTTGTCGCGAGGAGAAGGTGCTGGTTCTGAAATGATGTGTACGTTGTTTGAGTTGTCAAAGAAGGTTAAGGATTGCGATGGACTCACTGTTGACGAAGTCGCCAAGATCGTCAGCGGTGTCGTCAACTTCTTTGCATTTGATGTTTTCGAAGTATGTGGCCATTCGGAATGGACGCATCAGTCGTGGATTATCGCGTTGAGTTTCAGAGAGAAGCTCGCAAAAGCCCTTCTTTTGATAGGCGAAGGGATGAAAATAGTTGACAGCTTTGCATCGAGGCTTTTCAGCACACTTCTGAAGACATTCCTCGTGCACGTCGACACTCATCGTCGCCATCATTGTGCCAAAATAGACGTAGTCGGGAATCGCATCAGATCGCAGACCTTGCGGGCAGTCTGAATGATACTACCATCAGGATCAGGACTGGGATTAGCAGACGCAAATTAAAATCTTCTCTTAAGGAATCAACTGATACTACATACGATCAGGATCAAGAATGGGATTAGCATGCGCAAATTAAAATGTTCCTACGATGTCAAACTTCACAGGAGTAATCCATTCATTACCCGGAGTTCTCCTAGGAATGAACGGATTGCTCCTGAGAAGTTTAACAAGAAGTTATGCTTTTGAAGCTCTGACTCTCGGCTATTTCAGAAGAAGAACTGATCAAAGAAAAAGTTAATGGTTTTTCGACTTTGCAACAAATCGCTTTACAATAAAATTGGGATCGGAGAGAGAAGAACAAAAGAAAAACGGTTGTAGCTTTTTTATTCACGAAACCCAGCTCATACGATGAAACAGGTTCGCAGCGCGTTGTTCATACAGATGTAGGAGTTTAAATAAAAATCGTATGTAATATTGACAGCGAGAAACAACTAGATTCACCTGCTTCGTCGTAAGTGACATCATAAAAAGCTGGTGATCTGGCTGGATTTAGGTGAGCTCGTAGATCACCCCACCATTCAGTAGTGGAATAAACCAAAGGTAGAGCAAATATCAGAGAGCTGAGAGTAACTGTCGTCCACATTTGGCTACGCGTTCACTGCGAAACTGCTGTGAACAAGTCGCCGTGCCCCGCCTTCTGGGCGTTGTAGCCCCGCCTCTGCGCATCTTACACGCTCCCAACGAAAACACATTCCTATCCCAGTTACTGTTCTATGGACTTTTATTGGAGAACAAGCTTATGTAAACGTGACTGCGGAAACTCAATTTCAATATCATGACCAAGGTTCTTTTTGCCAAATAAAGCGTTAAAATTGCCATACGCGGTCTGCTGTGAGGATCTTGCAAGTTCTGCAACAGAGCGATAGCCTTCGCAGCGAGCCTGTGCTTTTTTTTTCATTTGCAGTACCCTGTACCCCATTCAAATTGTTCTAGATTTGGTTTTCGTTATCTTGCTGAACTCTGCGGCAACTGATTCTATTCATTGCAGAGCACAGACGTGTGGAGCATTCTTTAGCAGACTGCAACCGATGCTTGGATAGTGGAAAAATTGCAAAACATGCGATTGTGGCAGTCGGAATTCACGTGAGTACTTCGAGTCGATTTTAATGTCTGCACTGTAAATTCATTTCACAGACGGGTTTTTACCACTTCTCCCGAATTTCCGATTGTCTGCGGATTGTTGAACAAATGAAATATTAGGAGCGAATGGAATTAAAACCTCTAAAAATACAAGTTTTCGTTCTATCTCATTCCGTCCTACTGCAGTGTGTAAAATGTTAAATAATGGGGTAGAGTGGCACCCCGAAGATGTTTAAGAAAATGAACTGGCTCTAAAGCATAGCACTTGAAGGCAGCGATTACGATAGATTCTGGAAGGGTTTAGAGGGACGTGGGGTGCTCAATAGTACGCCAATGGCGAAAAAAGCAAAGAAATCCGTCAAAAATACGCAAAATAGTACCCCTTTGATTGCCCGTTCATTTTCGACCATGGATGAGCGGCGACAAAGAAAGAAGTTGTTCGGACGTGTTAACCCCGATAGCCGCCATCATGCCAACAAGCATAGTGTTTTGATTGATAAGGCATTACATGGGCAAGTTGGAAGATACAGCCGCTAAAAGGGAAATGATCTTCCAAAATGAAAAGCCAACAGCAAACAGCTCGCCAAGTCATCAACTGAACTAGTGGGCGTAACGCTTTGGGGCGGAGTGCTTCGGAAGTCCTGCTCAGCAACCACAGCACCTTCGTCGTGAGTGCGCTAACCACCTTAAATAACCACACATGGATCGCTATTGAGTTACAGGGTCGAAGTGGTGCGGTGGAAAGTGGCGCTGCGCATACCACGCGAATGATCTGAGGATCAAATCTCAGATTGTACTCCGTTCAGGCCAACCAAGGGTGAATGAATTGGTGCCACACATCCATAGATGGAAGTTTTCAAACGAATTAATTAGAACACTTAGAGCAAGAGCTGGCATCGTACAGACACGCGCAGGGAGCATCAAACAGAGAATAATTTTTCTGAGCTTCTATAAATGCTGAAGAACATGTAGAAATCAGGGCTCCTAGTTCGATCCCCTCTGAATACAATTTTTTACCTTCGTCTTTTCCCACCTTTTCGGTCTCACACATGTTAAAATTTGTTCAGCGAGCAAGAAGTTTCCATAGCTGCGACTATTCAACGCTACAAGTGTAGAGTTTATAAGAAAAGGAAAAGTTAAAAATGAATAGTTAAATCAGTATCTAGGATTGACATCTTTAGAAACAAGGCGCAGAGTTTTTGATCCTGTATGGTTCATAAGGTGGTGCAGGGCATGTGTGGCAGCGGTTTCAACGTGTTCAAGCTGGCACATTCGAGAACCAGGGGAGCCCTTTTGAAGATTTCATTGAAACAACCTAAAACTCACTTGTGGGCGAGGAGCTTCACCTTCAAGGCCGGCAGTGATTATTTGAAGTTACTGAAAAACATTCCCGTCACTTCCCAATCGCTGGCACAATTCTAGACGTACGTGTCGTCAATTTGTTAAACAGTGGCAGGTCCTAACGTTTTCTGTAGCTGATTAGTATGCTATTTTATTCTTGTTCTTTGAATATTATGCGAGCATAATTGTGTTGGTAATTTACTTCTGTTATTGTTTTTTTCACGCGTGCCTTCCGCGAGACGTAATGAACTTATACTTATACTTATGAAAGTTTCCCTTCCCAAGTAAAATTTTCTGTCCTTTTTCTGGCAATCTCCAGGGTCGCTTAGAGAAAAAATCTCTATGCTCCAAGCACGTCCCCCTCTAACACGCAACCAACCTTTTTGAAGAAGCGCTCATGTTCCTGAAAGATTCTCACGATCAGTGGTGAGTCTGGGATGATAACCATTTACCCATACAACGGCTGGCGCCGCAATTCCCTGTATACCACAACGCATTGAAGATACCACTGCGATTCTGAATAAGAGCAGAATGCGTGGCGCTCCCAGGAGGGGAGTGATTAACGGTGAACGCTTGAGCTTCATCCTTTTATTGGGTGTATTAAAGAAATGAACAGAATTTTAATGCTAAGCTCTTCTGTTATCTTATATTTAGTTCTTTCCCTCTGCCCTACTCTCGAAATAGGAGAATGATTGTAAAATGATCGTTTATCAATCATTTGGATCCGGTTTCCATGTCAAAGTTCGCGGTGTTCGGATTTCAGCACTGATAGCTGTCGCGTCAAACATTGGCGATTCTCAAAAACAACGCAATGTGGTTTCTAAACCAATACTGGAGCGGGTGGCAGAGGACGTATGGAAAACTGGTTGCGATGGTTTTTCTATCGCTTTGTTCTACGGTCCAGACAATGACGAAAGGACAAATCAACTAGCCCCTCTTCTACAATTATTCGATTGTCCATAAACCTAATGGTACCCGATTTTGCTGGCATCCTGCAAAGAACTAGCGAAAGGGCGAAGGCTTCGAAATTTGCTGAGAGGGAAACCGATTGCAGCAGGGCTCTACCTTGCCTTCTCTGTGAAATTAGGTTACATTGGGCTTGAAATGTTTACCTTATCGGTTTTAGAGAGCTGCTTTTAAACTCAGAAGGGTTCGCTCCTTGTTCTTCATATCCACCAAAGCTTCCACTTTGGATTGTCGCTGCACTATAGGTAACCACCAAAAAAGATATATCTTGCGGGGCAGGTGTTCTTGGTGTTCGGCCAAAATATGAGCTAATTTCTGATCTTCGACTTCCTTACGAAAATCTTGACCATTCATCAAACATCGCTTTTCGTGCTATGCCGAAGGTTACGTGGTATTTATGGTCGCAGTGACGGCGCATGTGATGTTTTTTTGAGTGATAGAGCGAAAGCGGTCGAACGCTTCCAGTGATTGATAACATGTATACTGTAGTTGTTTCAAGAGGAATGTTGTTGTTCTAGTCCAGAGTACAATTGCATCGCGCACTCCGACTTCAGCGAAGTCACAATGCACTTACCACAAGCGGTTTTGGCAGTCGCTGCCGTACACAATGTATTTGTTTGAGTTGGGCAGATGATCAAAAAATCTGGCCGTATGAGTCACAGAAATTTAATTATTTTTTGTTTATAGAGTGAATATGAGACTTTCATCTTTTTGTTGGATTCCAAGGATTACAGTAACTGGTACAAGAAGCAATACTAATCAAAGTAATTGAAGCAGTTGTAACAAAAGAGAGTTCTACTGGGTCGACGCAACTTACTGAAACCGCGCTCCGTTGTGCGATTCCTCCATTGCGTGGAAGAGGGAGTCCTTCCTAAACGGGCTGGACGTGGGAAGCCACCCATTGTTGCCGCCTCAAAATTTTGCGAGAGCTTCCGCCACAGAAATCGAGATCCTTCAACTGTCGAGGTGATCAAGAATATTACCATTGTGGTAATTAGATCCCGTTCGACTGATCTGTTTCTGAAGTACTGGGATCGAAAGCCTGCGAAAAACTCATGAATCCACAGCCTGCTCTTGGAAGGGTGACTTCTTCAAGCGACTAGTGTGCCGGCGAATATGGTTATGCTAGATACGACAACGTGGAATATTTTGACTCTTTTCGATTGTTAGTGCTGTTTTTGGACTCAGTTCGCTTTGCGTAAGTTTCACAAGAATGTTGGGCTGTGAACAAAACTTTCGCCCTATACGACACTCGCACCCGCATTTCTTGCTCGCCAGGCAAGTGCATACAACGTTACGCTTATAGGCACTACCCATTTCATTCGACTCAGCTTTCATGCAGTACACTTACGCATTAGTCTGTCGACGCGCCAACGGTATAAATGTTGAGCCTAGTAGCCGACCATCGCAGGTAGAATAGTTCCTTCTTTTTGGGGCAGTGAATTTGTTTACGTGTAGAGAGATTCTAAAAGCGAATGAAATTTAGTTGATTCAAATCGATGAATTTATTTAACTCAAAAGCATGCGAGGCTGATAACGGTTCTGTTTCTGTTGCTAATATTTCGGAGCCTGAAAGATGGAAACCAATTCACGATCCATTCGACAGTTGTCTCACTGCCCTACGAGACCTTGGAAACTAGCTGACCCATCACATAAGTTATAGACAGATGAAGTACCGTACCTTTTGGATCAGCGGAATCAGCTCACAGGAACGACAGTATAGCGGATATCACACTGATCGGAGTTTAGGATTGCCGGATGGAAGGCCGTCCTTGTATAGGAGGTTAGTTCCCGAAAAATTGACACACATACCCCAGCGGTTCATTCTTGGATTCGATGATTTCTCCTCCAATTCGGGCTCTTTTCTATGCTCACCCTGTACAAAGACTCCCGTAGTTGGCAATTGCTTCGCCAGATCACCATTAGCTGCCCTCGGCTTTTGTGAAGCTCGTTCTCGACCCAAGAAAAGTATCAATTCCTTGATTGTTGCCGTGCATCGCTTCGCCCATAGATGTTCGTGTGTATTGGATTCGTTGAAGACTCATCGAATCTATCGCTCGATATTTATGATCCTGCGCTTGAGAACGGCAATCAAGTGGGAATACTCCGAAACGGCATTAATTTAGACGCCCGACGCATCAAATTTTTTCAACCAATGGTCTCAAGCTGGAGCCAAGGTCGAAATTTTTTCATGGTTGTCGTTCGAAGTCCCTTATTTAGTGAAAAGGGTGACATTTTTCGGCCTCCATTCAACTAACAAAATCTTCATTGAACAGAACCACGGTTTCACGAGACATTGAGCAAACACCACAATTGCCTTAGAATAACAAGTATGCCACTTTTTGAAGCACCTAACCCTTCAGATATTTTACCCGAGTTACGCACTTGGATTTTATCAAGTTGGCCGGTTTTTCCAATGAGCAATCAGCTTTTCCAAAGTGATTCAACTAAAACGACGTTCACTCACTGCTGAAATTTTATTGCAGCGAAACGAAACACAGGTAATAAACACACCGTAACAATGGTAATAAATAGTGGCTTAAAAACCTTAAACGAAACTGCTAGCCTGATTCTCACCCTCATAAACGACACCTGCTACTCGATAGTACGCTCAGGTGGCGGTGTGATCGGAGCCATGGCCACGGCCAACTGCCTCTTGAAGTTTTCTCAGTGAGGGAGGAGGAGTATTTTGTGATACCGAGAACCAAGGCTCATATTTCGAGAGAAGAGGTCTTGATTCTGAGAGACTGGAAAGAATATTCCCTTCAGCAGCTGGAAATTTTCACAAACGCATTCGCCTTTAGGAGTTCGTATAATCCTCTCTCACGCCCGGACCTGGGACTTCTGAGTGGCGGATAATCCAATTCTCAGATGAACCTATATGCTCAAAGATACCTAGAAACCATTTCTTGGAGTTGAATTGTTAACTCAGGAGAGCGCAGGAATCGTGCTGTTATATATTTATTATTTTGAGGGACGCCTAGGTGCACAATTAGCCACTAGAATAACGCATTGTGTAAAATGAAGGTATTCGAAACCTCAACATCGTAAGGAAAAAAAAAAAGAAAAAAGTCAATAATACGAAATAAAATACATTTTTAGTATCAAACCCTCGTGAGCAGACCATGTGTTTACCGCAGATGACTCTAGATAAATATGATAAATAAATAAATAGATAAACAGATGAAAGCGGGCGCTAGGGAAAGCGACACTCTTAGTCGAGATCATGACACACGTGCAGAATCCGGCTAAGTGCATCTGGATTTAGGTAATCCTACCGCAACAAGTTCAGTTCCGACGCCGCCTTCATCTTAATCTTATTCCAGAACAACCATACGAAACGCTTAAATATACATTCATAATAAAAAAAATCTTCAAATACTCGTCTCCCTGTAAGCATCCGTCCTAAAGTTTAAGGTAAATCAGCGAAATATTGGTCGGCGCATATAATACGTAGCGCTTCGCATTCGCCAAAAATTAAAGGAGGATTGCACGGAAAGAACGAAGGTCGAAGAAGGGAGAAATCGCCTAGTGGGGAGAGCGGTGAATCTCTTGAGGGTGCGGACAGACACGCAATCGGCATCGAAAGATTTGACCTCTGAGATCTAGCATGGCTCAAAGTTGGCGAGTTCGGCGATCTCCGCCCACCGATCGTCTGATCACTCGCCGTAGTACAATAGGTGGCGAGTGATTAGATAGCTGAGAGAGCGTAGGGTTGAAGAGGGCAAAGCGATGAGAGTCCATCAATGCTCAAATCAACGGACAAGGAAGGGGTCCCATTTCTCCGGTTCTGGGCCGTTTTTCGTGGTTTCGCTTTCTTTCTGGTACTACTCACCATCTCTACCTCAATTTGGAATGGGTTGCTTTTCCATCGTAAATTCGTCCTTTAAAGGCAAAAGTCAGGCTCGTGTTTGGGCATTATGGCGCCTGAAATTGAGTGTAGAGATGGGAGGTGGAACGACAGTGAAGAAAAAACACAAAGAAACCGTCGACAAGACCGAAATCGAAACCCCATCTCTTCTAGCAGTGAAAGAGGCTTGCTCGGGGGAGAGCCACGTCCAAACGAGTTTTCCGGATATGCCAGCCGTTCCATCGGTTGATACGGCAATCAACCTAGCTGATCTCACACGTTAGGCCAGCCACGCACCACATCCCGCGGTGGGCGGGACCAGCTGATGTAACAAGCCCATCGCTGAAAGTAGTAGGCCAGAACCTTGAGTGCCAATCTCGAGACCAGGATGTGGGCATCCCCGCTCTTATAGCGCATCCATGGACCTATAGTGATGGACGCCTCTAGGGTACCTAACCTGACTCGTGGCTTAAAGCAAAAACCCAAAAGCAAAGCCAAGCATAAAACTGATCAGTGATGTTCTTCTCGTCATTATTTACGACTTTGGTTCCATTTCGCAAGAAATTACCGGGTTTAGAAATCAAAAAAGGGTACTGAGCCCGTTTTAGAATCCTCATTATTCTCAATTTGTACGACGTGAATATGATTTGAAATTAAGGGTCGACTGGAGTAAGGTTCGATGATGACGATGGATTCCGAAAAACTCCTATTTTGGCAGCTTTTTTTTCTGTATATAGATTTTCGCCCATCTTGATTCTCCAACTACAATTCCAAATTTCTCTAAACAAGCTGTCCACTTTCTGTTGAGTTCCTTCACATTTACGTGGTCGATTTCTCCATCGCCGTCTGTTTCTTCAGCTGATTCGCAGAAATTCTCAATTTCTGTGTTCTGGCCTAAATTCCACCAGTGTAACTTCAAAGGGTGTTCCGTGTGAACAAGGCAACTGAACACATGATCTTTCCGTGTCCGTTTTTTCCCCGATTCACTTTGCCTTGTGAACTAGTACTCTCCACACCGACTAGACCACTTCACAGCGTAGCTGTTTTTTCGTGAAGACGTGCAGCACAACACTGAAACACGAGCATATTGATCAACAGGTAACGGTCATCAAGACCCACTCATCTAGCGCTGATAAACCTATAGCAGATCGGACCTAAAGGCACACTGTCCCTCAGCGAAGCTGACGTCATAAGGCGCTGCAATTTTGATCATAAAATTGCATTGTTTTACATAATTTGAAACAATCGTCAAGACTTTGGGATGCAATAAGGATGAAAAGTCCACGTCATGAAGGCAAAGATCATCTCTTTCGGCTACGTTACACACTGAGTTTCATTCGGAATTGTAAAAGGATACTACAAACGATAAATTGTCGTCATCATCATATCGCGCTTATGTCCCCATAAAATGAGCAGGCATGCAGGTTTAGTTTTTATTCGTTGCAATTGACCGTATCTATGGCTCATCGTCTCACTCTGAGTCTAGTTCTTTGGATGAAAGATTGATGGTCATGTGCATCCGGCCTGCGTAGTAATTTCCGGTGCTTCTTCTGATCGTAAGTCGCCTTCCAATGTTTAGAGCAGAATTTCGTCTGCCCTTACATTTCTTGTGTTCTCTAACCAACCACGATGGCTTGGGATGATGTATTGACCTAGGTGGGATTCGATCTGAACACGTAAGAGTCGGCGCCGCCTCTTGTTGTTGTATCATCTCCGCCATCGTGCAGCACACTGTGGGAATAGGGTAGGTAGGAAAGAAGCATAGTAAAATTTTGAGGATATTACCACTTTTTTCTACCATTTACTTCACAACAATGGGATTATTTGGTCTCAACGGTCAAGGACGCCGCTTCTCAAGACCCTAATCGCTCGCTCAGTTCATCGATTCCAATCATTTCATGTTATGAGACGCAATCATCCGTTCACTTTTACGACTCCGACGGGCACGCGTCCCAAAACCGTTCGACTTGTTTTTCACTAAAATGCTGGGTTATTGGCAAAACTCTTAGTCCCAGACAGAATTGGGAGACGTTCAGTTCTCCTCCTGGGGTCAGGTTTTCTGGGCTGCGCGATAATTGAAGCCCAAGGTTAAGTTTGGGTCTTAGGTTTAGGCTTATGCTTACAAGATAGCCTATGATTGGGCTTAAGCTTAGTCCTAGACTTGCTTCGGGCAAATGTGTGGTGTTTCAATTTTGGCCTGACCTGAGGGGAGAGCGCAACGCACCTGACAGAATCGAACTTCTACCTTCCCACATTTTTTTCGCTATCGCAAAATATGGAGGCGTAGTGGTGACAGTGTATTCGAAACCGCCTAGATCCTTTCCTTTCGTTGAAAAGGCAACTGAGCCTTTGATGGGGATGAGATACTCCATGAGTAATTTTTGTTATCTCCGGAGTTCCCCCCCCCCCTCTCGTAAGCTTGGTCTTTAAAAGTGCCCCCGTATCTTGCGATAGCGCCTATTTTTTTGTTTTCTACTGTCAAGCCAGCTCCTTTTCAGACATACCTGGCTGTTGTTGAGTGGGATGGTTTGCACGAGCAGCATTGCCTTATTGCGCCAACTGAACATGTATGCTCAAGTATTCAGTTGGACGAAAATGTGTGGGATGAGATGCGAATATGGAGGAAAGGTGCGTTTTGTGAAGGTGTCTCATGGTAAAGCTTCTCAGTGTCCGAATATTAATTACGTAAGGTCCTGAGTCATGTTTCTACATACATGCATGTCAATGCAAAGTTGTGGTTTCCTGCATCTCAGCTGTTAGTCGCTTTCTTCCCATATTGGGGTTGTCAAAGTTTATTGAGAAACGAATACATCAACCACGAAGTTCAACTGTTCCCTAATGGGCTGTTGACCAAGAACGTTTTTGAGCGCAATTGATGTTCGCGAAAGAATGATACGAATGAGAAATAGAATCGAAAAACGTGTTTGATGCGCATTCCATGAATGTCTCATCATTTCAGTGACGACTTGTGACGTCTCTGAAAAATGCTGATAGCCATCGGCTGGTTATTCTGTTTATTATCGCGCAAAAGAGACCCATGGTTCATTTATCATCACAACGTTGGACAAACAATATGGCATCGGCAGCGTCCTGGGCTCTGACTTGAAAGGCAGGAGTTGAATGTTTAGGAAAATGATGTGTAATAAGTCGCAAGGGTGCAGGGAAATGTTCAAATCCAACGTGGGCTTTTGTCCAAAGTGGAATTTGTTAAGGAATTCAGCTGGAAGTTTTTGCGCATTTCCCATGATGACTATTAAGCACGTGACCATGTGAAATTACTACCCAGGAGCGAAAAAAATCTTGGTCGAGAAAGTTGTCAAATGAGTGTGCAAATTTTCGAGGATGGAGGATAATTGATAACGTTCTTGGAAGTAAATTTTCAACAGTTTGCTTTGATTGATGGCTCTTTTATTTGGATGATTATTTGTGATGATTTTGTAGAAGTCTTACAATGTCCCGGCACAGTTTAATATGGAACTTGTGCATGGTTATTTGAGCATGAAGCTTACACAAAAGCTACTGATGTCGCATAGGTGAAAGTAATTTCAAGTCCGAATGCTGCTGAAGCTGCTTGGCAACTATCATAATGGAAAGGGATAGGTGTGGTGGTGGGACCCCGAACAGCTGAGGAACGCTTCGCTGAGTATAAATCTGAGGCACCGAACATTCGTGTTACGGGCAAGGAGCTGGTCGACTGCAGAAAACGAAACACAAACTAGTTCAGGACAAGCTATCTTTTTGTCTATGTGTAAGCTCCATAGTG